TGAATTTACACCCACTACAATTGCATTCATTACTATCTTCGCCACTATTATTCCTCTGTTCGCTCACTGATGTCAAACTAATTAATTAACTCTGATGCATTACTAGTATTACACACGAGAAGTACCGAGTTAACTATTGAATTCACATTCACTGCAATTGCATTCATCATTACTATCCTCACTACTATCATTCTTCTGTTCGCTCATTGATTCGCTTCGTCGTCATTTGCTATCAAATAGTTGTTACTTCAAGCAGTGCATATTGTCATCACAACTATCAACATTCTTCTGTTCGCGCACCGATTTCATTGCCATTTAATGAAAAATCAAACCAGGCTACAGCATATCACTCGTAACTAGAATACAGCATATCTGCACTCCTAATTGCATTCAAGAATACCATTTCAGCTTCTCATATAATATAAATAATACGATCAGGTAGTGTAACGCATAAAAGTACGCGCAATTTCTCCATTTTTCACTCAATACCAACACGAAGACGCTGCTAATCACGCGAATCACTCACAGATAAAGGCAAGCATACTAGAATACAAGCATACGCACTCAATACAAGTTGTACACACTTTTTCAATCTTGATAGATTAGCATATCTATTTTTTTGCTATTGATTCGATTGTTTTGAAGACACCCCAGAAACAAGAAACCAACGACATCGACGGAAGTCGGTTCACACTTATAGCCACACTCACAGCAGGACATCAAGTCGATTCATTGGCACCAACACCAACCGCACTGGACAACGACCATAGGAGGTACAACTAAGTTAACAACTAGGGCTGCATTGTGATAGGTGAGACGGAAAATTGTCAAGGGAATACTTATAATTCGAGTCTTCAACAAGAGCTCTAGTATTTTTACAGGTCCAGTCCTCTCCGGTTTCATCGTACACTTGCCTTTATTTTCAGGTTCTTTCTGAAAAGAGTGAAAACTCATCGGACGACGAGAGGTTGACTTGTACACGCACGCTTCAACTCAAAAAGACGCTAACGCTGTTTATTTCAAGACAAAGAAAGGTATCTTCTGGTTGTGGACAATATTTTCGGATATTCTTTTTAGGCAAATAGAAGCACTAGTACACGATCAGCATAGACCTTGGACACTACGACTTCCTTCCGCAGCGCTTCCTTCTACTTCTACTTCGCAATCTCTTTCACTTCTAAATCACGCACCAACCAACCAACTAAGACCTGCTGCCCGCAATCATCTTCTAAGGTAACCAAGACGCGACTATTGCTTGTCGCAGAATACAGGAGCTTCAACGAACTCCTCCATCTCCGGAGGCAGGTCCTTCAACCCGAAAGATTCAGATAGTAGGCAGGAGGGATCCAGGAATCATTCAAGAAAGTCTCAACTCTGCTTCATAGGACCAATTCTGGTAATGTTTTTCTATCCAGACAACCGATGATGCATATGAAGGAAGATCGATATACTTATTCGTGTATTATTCGTGTATAATTAGCAATACTAGTTGGTGACGTTTTCTTTGGTTTTTAACAAACTACAGATGATGCTCTTACATGCTTTCTTCCACACATCCACACACATTACCACAGTCACCAGGTACGGCGATCGAGCGTCTCTACGGGTGGGTCATCAATTTTTCGTGAATTGCAATCCCTCGAATCAAGGCTGAAAGATCAAGAACATCCAGACAGATCAAGAATATCTACGACCACAACTGGACAGCAACGCGAGGACTTTGGTACAGCCGAACTCTCATGCCATGTCATCAATTGACATAAGTAGATATACTTGATTGATGCCTATTGTTTGACAGACTTTTTTACTGTGGATTTGGCTGAAATTTTGAGGCGGGCTATGATTATCAAGGTCTAGACGAACGCCCCACTAGGAGTTTGTACTCTTTTAAAGTTTGACTGTCGCTACCCTCTGATGAGGGATCCAAGTAAAATGCAGGTCCTTACACTGGAGAGGCTTGCTTTGCCATTGCCTGTGAGACTTATTAGTGTCAATAAGCTTGATGAAAAAAATGAGCTTCCAGCTAGAATACATAAAATCATCGAAAGCAGTGACTCGATGGCGCGAGAACTGAATATGAGTCATAGCATGCGGGCATGAGTCTTGGGTGTATAACGGTGTGTTGGTTGTTTTTTTTGGCCCAACACAACATGTGTCTGTGTGGTCTGGAGGCGGGGTGAGGTTGTGTCGACCTGTTTTCTGAGCTCTGTTTTAGTTTGTCTCTGGTGTCCTGCTCTTGCCTTCTATATGTGTTCCCGCCCATGCGGAGTCTGCGTTCGGCTCCGCCTTACACCAAGGGGCCCGAGAGGGCCCCTTTGTTGGAGAGGCCCGATACCCAACATCTGTGGTGGAGCTGCCTGGCCTCTCGCTCGTTAAGAAACTGGATTATGCAGATCATGCCCATCTGCTCTTTCTCGCTTCTTTTTCTGCCTGTGCAACTATATCCGTCCAGGAGCGTACACATAGATGGCGCACTCTATCCAGATCGTTCTCTGTCATTCTATTTTCTCATAGATCTACCCTGCTCTCTCTATCTATTT